GTAAACACAGATGCCAGTAAGGTGTATATATATTTCCACAACCAATGAAAACAAGACAGAATTTTAAAATGTAAGCATAAAACCTAACACCCTAAGATATACACAAGTTTATAAAGTTTCTTATTAGTTTGTTATTTAATCATAAATGAACTACTTAGCTTAGTAGGACACAAGCTGTGAGTGAAAGGCACTCAGTTAGAATCACACTCCAAGTAGTAATGATCTTCAAAATTGCAAACCACTGTTTTCAATTGATTGATTCATTCATTTTCTACAGCTTATCAATCTTTTCATGTTATTTAAAGTCACAAAATATGGTGGCACAAGGATTAGGAGAGATAACAAAAAGACAAAATTTATTAAGAGCTATATGGACAGGAAATTGTGGGAGACATGATCATCAACATCATGAATGGACACAGTATATAGAAGAGATGTGCATTTCTATGGCAACATCAGAAAAAAAAAAGAAAAAGAGCAGAACATGCAACAAGATTTTCCCACCTACTCCCAAAAATGAACAATATTAAAAACAAATTTTTTTTTTTACCATTGTAAATATACATCCACCTGTACAAAAGACATGGAATTGCCTTATATCATCAGTGTACTATCCACACACTTTCCTTAGAGCAATGAATTCCCCTTTACTACAACCCTGACCACTTCAGCATCCTTACCAGATTGCACTTTAAGTAGTAAATTTAAATACATTTGAAATCCCAGCAACACAAAATTTCAAATTGACTTTCTTCTTGTTAGCAGCCCAATTTTATCCAGCTTAATTAAAAAGAAACACCAGATATCCCAAGTAGCAAAGCTCAAAATTTTATCATTTTCAAAAGAAGACCAATAGAAATATTGCACATTCTTTTTATAACATTCCATGAAACATTTTACATCAAAATTTATAAGCAAATAATTCAAGTTTTATGATATAGATAAAACAATAAAAATCAGTCATAAAATCTTCTCATCCATGGCACAAAATAATCGTAAAACATTTTTCTTACATTTCCACCAAGTTTTTAAGACAAATTTGGATTTGTCTGTGAAAATTACTTAAGAAAAGTCAATTTTCATGTATTTTTTGGACCAATTTTGACACTTAATATTTGCTTTAGTGAGCAGTTTCTCTAGGAGATTTTTTTTACAGATCCCAATTCACAAAGTATTCTACACATTTTGTTCTTGATTTCCTCAATTCCAATCTTTTTTTTTGAAAACTTAAAAATTAGTTTTTTTTTTTTTTTAAATTAGCCTTTTAGTTTCATTTTTTTTCCAAATGATCACTTTTTCATTTATTCTATAAAAAAACCAGAAAGAACACTCAAGACATATATATAACATATATAATACAATATATAACAAGAAAATTAAAAACTAAATAATATGCCCCACTGAATATATCAATTACAAAACATTTACTATACAAGAAGGAATTTGAACAACTGTGTGGTAATAAAATAAGCACATCCCATTTCCCCTTTTGCTTCTAACCATCCACTATAAAAAAAATTAGTCAAATAAAGCTTCATAAGCTGCTACTTAGATTCATTGCTATATTACAAACAACAACTAATAAAATAGATATAACATGTAACTTGAAGAGAGATATAATCAAGATGCTGACATTCCACACTAGCTTGAACAAAAGGTAAGGAAGGAAACTCCCATCAATACTGGAAAGAGTGATAACAGATAGTGAGCATGAGAAACCTATTTTCCTGAAAAATTGTCTGAGGAGGAAGATTTTACAGATTTCAACTGAAAGCAGCACTGCCCACTCAGTCAATGAATGCTGAATATTTTGTAATAAAGAAAGTACTAATATTACTATTTACTGTTAAATTTTAAATTTATACTATGTTTAAAAGATAATCAACTGAAAGTTAAATATTTACACTTTTGCAGCTTAGTAAAAAAAAAAGAAAAGAAAAGAAAAATCTACCAATGCCCAGTAACTAAATAGGTGGGTACCTATAAATGGGGTACAATGAACAGTACATTTAAGTATACAAATTATCTGTTGATACAAACAAGTTGCTTTCTTTTACATATGAGAAAGGCTTTTTATGTCCAAAGATTTAGGCATAACTTTCAAAGTTTCAAGTGACCAAGGCCATGTCATTACTGTTTAAATATAATTCAACAGGATTTACCAGAAGATGTCTAGCTTTACAACATGGATTAAAGAGACTAAGATTGATGGGGGAATTAATTTGGAGTGAAGGAATGGTTTGTGCATTCTTAGATCAGAAGAAAGAGGCTTTAAAATGTTGCTATCTATTAGCAACAAGAAAGTGCTTTTAGAACTTTTGGTTATATTTTTCTCTATGCCCAGAACAGATTCAATGTGGCACTTTTCTTTAGGATGCTTGAAAACATCAGAAACTGATGCTAATGCTATACCTTTAAGTGCAATGGAGAGGTACAGTCACAGTGAATCAGCTAAGTGAAAATTTTAGATTTGTATTATATATATATATATATATATATATATATATATTGCTACCTATTGATATAAAATCATGTGTAATATTATTCAGCATATATTAAGGTGAACAGAATTTCTTCCAATAAAGGTTTTGACAATTATCTAAAGCAATGATTATTGAATCAAAAATAAAGTTCACAATACTTATAAGATATTTTGTGATTCCTCACTTTCCAGGTCTTCACATAAGAGTGTTTATTTGAAATCTTGGCAAGTGAGAGCTGACATCCAATAAGTATTGTGAATTATATATATATATATATATATATATACACACACACACACAAGAGATGTTTAAAAAAAAGCAATGACTCCAATTTTATTATCATAGCCTGTTGTAGAGTAGTTTCACAGTGGAGGCTTGTATTTCACTAAGTCGGTCCTAAAATAGGTTCGATGTATAAAATGTTAGGAAGTTGATATAATAGGTAATGATGCAGAGAAATCTAGTGGTGGTCGCTGATACTTTTATATCCGATTAATGGTCGTCCGACATCAACTCACTGAGCGACTTCGCGACAGACCCGTTACTATTACTACTACTACATTATAGATGGGAGAGTCTATTAACTATAGAATAGGTGTGTTCCACTATAACATAGCCTACAACATCTGAGGAATTTTGGCTGTATGGTAGAAACTGTGCCTTCAATCTCATAACCAGTAATTATTTTTTTTTTTAACTATGTTATAGATAATACATGAGTGGGTGCCTGGCAAAATGCTGCCTGACATGAAAGCGTGTATGAAAAAAAAGTTATCAATGAAGTCCTCCAAATGTTTATGTAGAACAAAAAGTGGATGTAGGCACAGTTAGGCAGTGGATGATGTGCACTTGCATTGACAACAACAATGTGACCAATCACATTTTTGGCTAGGCTATAATACAGATTACACAGACAACTTTATTACTGACAATGTCATTGCTGCTATGAAAAGTAGAAAATAGTGTTTTGTAGCAGAAAAACTTGTTCTCTCCAATAATATTATTATGCTCTCTACATTTATTGTTGTTTCCATAAATGGCATTACTTTTGAAGCATCCCTCATAATACTGAGAGACAAATTTGTGTATGTTCTCAGCTCTTTTTGCACTGATATAGAAATAATGCCTAATAAAATCATTTAATACATTCAAGCTCTTTTGAATGTAAGAGAGAGATAAATTTTATGTAAAACTGTGATATTATGGGCAAAATCTAGTAAATGTCAGGAATTTCAGTCACTCTAATGATTAAATAATCTATTTAAATTACATTTTGGGGATGGGGTTAAAATGAAATGATAATCATAGGGCTAGCTTATTTTAAAGCCATAAAATGGAGCTAAGATTTCAACCTCCCCCACCCCAAGTGGCTTCAACATTACTCCAATACTATCCTCCTTTAATGTAGTTATTTTCTTTATTAAACTATTTCTAGTGGTAAGGATAAAATAATTCACTCAAAAGCACATTCTTCAATTTTAGATTTTAAATTTGAACACATTTCAGCAGGTAACCTGTATAGCATTCATTAAAAATTAAGGAAAGTGATTTTCAGTAATCAGGAGTTAATGTGTAAATGTTACTGAATGTGGCTATTAAATACAGTAAATAATCGTGTAACGCATGATCTCATGCATTATGTGACCCCAAATTTTCACTTATAAAAAATGATTTTATCATGTATCATGTGAGTTACTTTTTTGAGAAACCAAATTACAATAGACTAACCTCTTTTCCTCTATCTTTTCATCCTATCTTTTAGTTAAATAAGTTAAAAATTAAAAGAATGATAAAAGTATTGTTAGTAATGCTATACTTGTTGCATAAACGTGTACATCCATAAACAACTGAATGAGAAACAGCTAAACATAAATGTAAACAATGGAAAAGATGCTTGTATTTTATAATACAATATTAATATGCAAATATTACATCATTATTATTGGATATAATTAAGTAAAATATCAGTTTTATCAAAATTATGTTTATTTTAAATACAGCTGTACTTTTTGACTACCATAAATGGATATATAGTTTGGTCAGTATAGCCAGCAGTACATACACTAATTTTATATGTTGTGTATGATGCAACCCCCTTAAAATTAGCTTAAAAATTGTCTTCAAAAGTCACATGATATGCGAGTATATATGATACTAAAATTTTTATATTTATTGTAAGATTTCTCATCACCTTGTTAAATTTTTAAAGAAGAGTGTACATGTCCCCAGTTATATTTAAAATGAGAATTCATGTTTTCCCTAATGATTACTTGGATCTAATTGATTGATTGATTGGTTTTCTATGGCTTATCATCCTTTTATGGGTTATTTAAATTTTTTGGAGATAATGATTTAATGATACAAGTCATACTAATTAACCTATAGTTAAAGGGTGAAGAGGTGGATATTTGGATATTTGCGCAAAAGCAAATATAAAAAATGCAACTCGAATTGGAACTCAGCTCTCCAATTAACAATTCCAACCCATTATTCATTACACCACCTATACATTCAAACTTACAGCATCTGGTATTCCCAAGCAGTCACCCATCTAGGTACTGATCATGCTCAATGTTGCTTAACTTTGATGATCATACGGTAACCAATGTTTCAACATCATGTGGACATAAGCCTGCCTGGATCTAAGTTGTTAATATACAAACTTCTACTCTTCTATGTGTTGTATCCCATCACAGCATAGGTGATCGAGGCTCTTGACAACTTCCTATCCTTTGTAGCTCTTAGTAATAGTTACTTTTTCAACATCCGCCCCAGTTCCTTTTCTGCCACCCATGTTAAGTTACTCATTGTTTTCTTCTGTCCCTCTTGCCTTCAAGTCCTCTGAGTGTCAAATTCTCCAAGCTCTCTTTCCTTATGTGCCAGAAATTTCATCTAGTTTTTCTATCTTGTTGAAACTTGTAACAATATTTTTATATAAATGTATTCTGTCCTGGGTATGACGATAAACTACATCCGCATCCTGGTTAAGATGATAAACTACATCCATGTCCTGGATAAGATGATAAATTACATCTGACAGCAAGGACTCTGATCAGGAAGTTTTGAGGAGCATGGAACCACCTCTTAATTTCTGGCATTCCCAGGTCCACCCTGACCCAGGGAGGCACCTGTTAGGGTCCTATTTATGTGTAAATAGTTAATACCCAAAAGTATTTTAGTCAAACACTATGTAAAAATAGGTTCAAATACCAGAAATACTTTGTAAAAAAAATTATTACCAGCAACACATTTTTGAAAAAAAAAATTACCAGTTATACAGTTTTTTAAAAAAAAGATATTAGCAGCAATAAAAACCTTCTTGGCATTAAATAACCCACTGAGGTTGATATGCCATAAAACAAAACAAAACCATAAATGTAGTTATCAACATAAGTGGTATACTATACACAAATAATTAAAAAAAATAAAGAACTTCTATGGACATTATCTTTTTTTTTCTTATTTAGATAGCTCTGTGTATATATGTTATTATTACAGGGTTTATATACACATACACACACCTGATAAACATTCTCATTTATGTATGCATTTTTTTTCTTTAATTCTTTCAACTCCTGTTACAAAACAAATTCTTCAGGAAGAAGCTGTGTTTTGCATCAACATTTTTCCTCTGAACATATGAATTGTAAGCAGATTCTGGAACCGAGCTGTTCCATAAATTATATCATTACTATTGGATGAAAAGAAAAACAAGTAAAAACACCTTAACAAGTATCATATTAGAAATGTAACAAATATTTTCTTTCATAAAGTGAAAATGAAGTTGCATTCTTCAGGATTTGACATGAAGGATTGCTGAAACATTTTTACAAGAAATTCATTCCTATTTTATAGTGTTTAAATATGGGTGGAAAATTGATTTATATTGACTTAATGAGGCTTTCTTGCACAGGATTGAAATGAAAAGCTTTTAAGAAAAGAAAGAAAAATTCTTTCACCATGCACTTTATTTTTTGTCATCTTTGTTTATTTTCTGTTTCATACTTCAGTTCTTGAGGGAAGGCCCAAAATATTTCCATTTACTATTGTTAGATGACATTAGAAGCATTTAGGTTTAACTAAATTCATTGGGAAAGACTGTTTTAATTTTATTGTGATAGCTGTTATATCAGAATGTATTAAAAGAAAATAATGCCAATTTTGATAGTTTTTCTTTGATTTCAAAGAAAGCAAGTAACATTTATGACAACATTTTTTTTTTACAACAAAGAAATGCAAATCAAATACCAAAATGATTTGTGCAGTTTATATAGAAGGTAATGTGGATGATCAAACATGTCAAAAGTGGTTTGTGAAGTATAATATATTACTTGAGAACACATGCCATTACATGAGCAGAGCCAAAATATTCAAAATACCCAAATCATTGTCATCAGCTATAAATTAGTTATGTTGATGTGTGGCATCCATCCAAATGAAAAAGATCTATTAGATTATATTTTCATGCACAATTTTTTTAAACAGATGTGACACAATAACAAGTAGATACCTTACAACACTATGGAACACAGAGATTATATCACAAGTAAAATGAATCACCATGATGTACAAGGTGAGTTATATGAATAAGAAAGGAGATAGTAAAAAGATTTGGTTTATCGTTGTTTTACAGCATATCAACCTCATTGGGTTATTTAATGCCAACAAGATTTGGATAGGTTCATATGAATAGAATATGTATTCTGCATAAGAAATCACTTTATAGATCAAGTTTCATTGAATGTATTTTTGTAAAGAGGGTTTTTGTCGAAAGTCAAATGTATTGCTGGTAATACTTTTTTCAAAATGTATTGCTGATATTTTTACTATAAAAATCTATTTTTATACTTACATATTGTTTTGACCCCAGTTTGGGAGGAGGTACCTATTTGCCCATAGCTGGGACCCTAACAGGTACTACCACCCCAGGTCAGTGTAAACCTGGGAACAACAGCAATTAAGAGGTGGTTCCACACGCCTCAAAACCTGATCAGATGCTTTGCTGCCAGATGTAGTTTACTGTCATACCCAGAATGAGATCGTAGGAAGAGAGGATAAGGTGGATAGATAATGATTGACCCATGACTTGAAGAGATTAAGAGTGTAATATTTGGGAAGTGTCCATGTGAGAATCAGTTCAACAAAGTAGCAGTTGATGGAAAAAAGCTGATTGGAATTTTCTCCTTACATACAGAATAGAGAGGAAATGAGGATGATTCATCTCTGTGGAAGTAGCATGGTGTGTCCTAGTTCTAAAGGTCTGAACTGGTGGAACTGAAGAATGACGCACATATGAAAATTTGTCATGGATATAGTGGTAGAGTAGCAATAGGTTTGCAATGTTCTGCCTGTGAGAAAAGAGATTGTAGAGTGGAAAATAAATATTCCCCCCCCCCTCTTGCCCAACAAGACTGTGTAAATGATTTTTAACTCTATCAAAGCTGGAAAGTGATGACTGAGCAGCTCCACCGCAGATATCATATTTTTGTCTCTATTTTTGGTCTACTCTGACTTGTAAAGATAAAGCATAACAGAAGGAATCAGATACTCTCTGGAGTGATAGAAAGAGATATTTTTGCAGTAATGGATCAAATAAGAGAGTTCTACTTGAAGCTGAGAGGGAACTTAAAACCCAAATGTATGAAATGAGGGATTTTATTGAACCAATCAGTATTCAGTATCAAAAAGGCATGAGATTGATCAGGAAAATTGAATGAAATGAGCAATAGAATATATAAAGACTGATTTTTTCAATGTTTTTTGAATGCTGAGTGGCTACAAGTAAAAGCCAGTAGAAATACCCATCCTTAAGATAAAGGTGATGTGATATGTTGAGGTAGGATTATAGTTGACAAAGTGGTGGGCCTATGATGAGATCAAGATAGTGTTAAAATAACAGCTTACGTATGCATTTACTTTTGAAGGTACACATGGAACAATATTTCAAGAAGAAATCAAATACTTTCAGATAGAAAATGATTTTTATACACAACAATGATCCATCACAACTGATAAAAAGAACTATTGAAGATCTGAATTCAATGGGCTTCAAAGAAACTAGTTTAATGAGGTTTCTGGTTTATTCCCCCTGACCATAACTTGATTAAAAATTTGTGAAGAATTCTGAAGAGTCAGGTTTACATTGGTAGACAGATATTTACCAGCAAATAGGAACTGTTTCAAATTCTATGCAGATTCATATGAAGAAATACAAAGATTCCAAAATTAATTGACAAACTTTTAAAACTAGTTTCAGAACAATAGCACATATAATTCACATTAATGTCGCCTTTATAATTTTGGCGTCCTTCCAATGACTGTTTTTAATTTTTGCCTTTGTAAAATTTGCTTACATTCTGTAATTATAAATTTTTCAACATTTCAGAGGTTCTGCAATCAATGGTTAATAATGTGAAACTTGGAAAATTACAAAAATTAATAAAACTACTGCCATATCTCAAGAGTGACACTGATTCTATGATCATTAATATATATTGTAAATTTAAATTAGTGAACTTAGACAAGTGAAGTAGAGAGAATGATTTATTCAAACATCTTTTTACTCCATGTTGGATCCCAGTGAAAGACAGTTGTTCAGCATTGTTGGGTAAAAATGTCCCTTCCTTGTTAGGGTGTTCAAGAGAAGCAATTCATGTAACACATGTGAAATACTCTGTAGAGTAATAGTGCAAATACTTTTGTAAATTCTTTCATTGGTGTCCTAAGTGCTATTCATTTTTGTGTACACTGGTCTGCTGGATGGGTGGGGTGCATCAACCCTTTTCTGCACTTGCCTGCTTATTTTATTTTTATTTTAAAAACTGAATCGATGAAAGCAAACACAAACTTTTCCACATCTTTGATAAAAATTTCCCAGTTTGTCACATCATAATCACTTTTATTTTGGATACTATTATATACCCACACGCATACACAAATATATACATATAAGTTCATGAAGACTGTAATTTGTAAGTAAACAATTACTAATCCTACAGAGAACAGTTGACCAGCTGTTGAATAAGAGAAATGAGCTGATGGCTGCACATAGGTATAAGAATAAGTATTTAATTAAAAACATACACCCGAGGTAGTATCTATCACTATTGGATTATAAGTCAGATTATAGCTACTGGTTGTATCTTATCTGCCTGGCTTCATATAGCTATTGGTTTTATATCTTATTTGCATGAAACTCCAAGCAGTGTATTTTGATATTGTATTAATAATATTATTCTAATTTATTTAAGCTCTGTCGACTTTGGCATTGAGCTCTCAGTTTATTTTAAGCTTTAGTTTTATTCTTACTATTTTTTTGTGTGCATGTGTGTATATATATATATATATGTGTGTGTGTGTGTTTGTGTGTGAGTTTTATATATATATATATATGTGTGTGTGTGTGTGTGTGTGTGTGTATGTGTGTGAGTGTGTGTATGTGTGTGAGTAACTTACCTTTTCATTTGTTGGCACATAACAAAATTGAGAAGAAAAGGAAGTGAAAAAAGAAGGTATGAAGGAAGACAGGTGGAAGGTAAGTAAGAATGCCTGAAGAAAATGAAAGGAAAAGCCAATGAAAAGGAAGTAGGAAAGAATGAATGGAAATGAAAGACCT